TTTATACATATATATTTATACATATATCCGTTGTGATTATGCTTCTTGAAACGGGACGGACGAATATACTTTTTTAATTTGACACATTCAGACATTCGTGTCGCAGTTGTACTATTTTATGGCATTCCACTACCAGACCTGTTATGGGCGACTAGAGCTTCTCAAGTCGTTAATTCTGGGCGATTGCAACGCATTTGCAATGCCGTGGTTCGATGCGGTGTGCACCCGGAATACTCCGAAAACAGATCAGCGGTTGAACCCTAAACCTTAAACCCTACACCATTACCGGCACATAGACCAGGTCAGGCTCTATAAACCCACTCCATCACATGCATACGGGCGCCACAGTGGCATGTGCTGCATGGCCAGGCCTACAGTGTCGCACTGTATAGTAGCGAGGAGAATATAATATTGTCTCTTATGAGAAGGTTACAACACCCCTTTAATCCATACTATAAATCCATGGGAATGGCCTGTCCCGTTACCTGAGGTCGCGAAAAATCATTAGCGGACGCCAAACAGACACACAGTGCCGAGACTCGACGATATTCGCTTTGCCCATTTCAGCCCCCCCCCCCTCCTCGCCCTCAAAAGAACATGACAGTGGTATCGGAGCTTTCGCTTTCGACCAGGGCGTCTGCACAGGTTCAAACAACATGCAAGCTCTAGTTCCTTGACCAGCAGCGATTGAATGCGGCCTGAACTATGAACTCAGTTGCATGAATATATGCACAAAACATGTGCGCGAGTGTATGTGCATGCTTTGCTGCATATGCATGTGCATGCTTCGCTGCATATGTGTGTAAACGCGACACGTGCAGTCTTCGGCGTCTTGTCGGCATTGCCAGACATACTATACCATGCTCTATACAAAATACTCTATACAGCATGCTTTATACAGCATGCTCTATACAGCATGCTTCATACAGCATGCTCTATACAGCATGCTCTATACAGTATGCTGATCACTGACTTTGTGCCCGCGATATCTGAGTCACTACTCTTACCAGACCCCTTGGTATTCGTCCTCTTGGTATTAGCCCTCTTTCTACCCTTAGAGTCATTCTTGTCCAGTTCGTCCGATTGTTATCTTCTGTCCTCGTCATCACTATCCAACCCGTGCTTAGCTTGTTTCTCGTTCTCAATCATATTTGTTCCACTCTAAATTTTCCAAACTATTACCACTAACTCTTTCACTATTACTATCTTCCACGCTCTCGTTATTAGTCAGCGTTGACCCTGCATTGCTAAAGCCCTTCCCCCTCTTGTCATAGTGTTTCTTCTCTATCTCGCTCTAAACCGCCACCCCTTCTCGTTGTCCTCCTTGCATTGCTGAAGCCCTTCCCCCTCTTGTCATGGTTTTTCTTCTCTATCTCGTTTTTAGTCCGTCGACCCTTCTCGTTGTCCTCATTCTTCGCCCATTTTTTCTTACTCTCAAACTTGAGGTGCTCAATCTTATCACCATCACCAATACTTCCCTTCCGCCGCATTGAAGACCCATCTAAATTTTTGGCCCGCCATTTATTCTCGGAACTAGTCGTCTTTTCCTCAGCATCTACCCCAGCCAAGTCATCCAGACTCTCCCCCACCCCGTCCCTTTCGAGAATAGTCCCCATCGTTTCCGCAAATTTCGTCCTCATCTTTTCCACAAATTGCGCCCCACCCAAACCAATTGTCCCTTTCCGTTCCCCGGCCATTTTTCCAGGCCTATCTCCATCCATCCATAAATTGGTGATTTCTCGCAGCATGCCGTAGTCCTTCCCCTTTGTGCGTATGTGTCTTGCTTGCCTGGGTTGTCTTTGATCCCATTTCGCGTACTCTCCGGCCAGCTCGAGTTCCGCCCTTTCTTGCTGTTCACTCTTCTCCACCCGGCGCGAGTGGGCCCTGCCATCAACATTCGGGTTCTGGGCCAATACGCGCCTGGAGTAAGGTTTGTATTTGATGTCTCTGATTTTCGTACGCTGGGGTATGGCTGTGGGTTTGTGTGCGCGCACAATAGTGAGTAGTGCGGTTGCGCGTGCGTCGCTGTCTGTGTTTGTGTGGCTGTGTATATTATGGTGTGTTGCTGATGCCATTGCACCGTGCGTGTCGCCACATAAAGGTAAATCAGTGATATCTGTGTCCTGTATATCCCACTGTAAATCGTCGTGCACATCCACCCTCGGCCGTACGCCTGTCTCGGAGTCCTCATGCCTCTCCCCATCGTTCACCCCGCCTGTGTACACGAACTCCTGTAACGGAGTCTTAAACCCGGTACGCGGAATTGACTCCTCATCCCCCACACCTGCAGCCTCGTCCATGGCCCCTTCGGCGGGTGTTTTGGACCATTTCTGCGCTTGCGTGTCCCAAAATGTGCGGTGGTGCGGATGTGAACCAAATTTGTACCGCCACGAGTGTGTGGACTCTGTTACAGAGCCCTTGTGCCGCTGCCAGTTGTCGACAAATAAGGTTGACTCGAGTTGGCCCGCGATTGACTGCAGCTCGGGGTTATCCGAGTACTCACCTGCAGTGGGTGGGAGGTAGGTAAGCTTGGATAGGTATAGAGGACGGCGAGATAGCGAAATACTTTCTGATCTCAAGTACTATGACATACGAGGGAAAACAGCGCAGAGGATATAGGAGAGGAGCAATATACATTTGAAACCGTGGACAGATAAGACATGTAATACTTAGGCTAGATGATATAGTACATATTTAATATCATACTACGATAATACCTACCATTCACTAACACACAACTTACGGACGAGATGTAATGTACTCTGGGACCGGTATTGGAAGAAGTTCATCTCGTCTTTAATTTCCGATGAGTTGCTTTCACCCAGTGCCCTCGAACAAGACGCAAACATGGTCATGGCTTCCTCAAACCTACCCATGTGAGCGAGACACTCCATGTAACCAGCATCCACGATGGGTGTGGTGGTGTAGTGTCCCCAGTCCATGCGTGTTTGCATGTCATTCCAAAGCTGTGTATGTTTTTAAAGTTCGATAATACGAGTGTTATATCAATAAAGGCTTGTATATATATATATATATACGTGTATATATATATAGATATAGATAGATAGATAGATATATATATATATATATTTATATATATATATATATAATACATAAATGTATATATATATATGTATATACATATATATATATATATATATATATTTACATATATACGTATACATATACATATACGTATACATATACATATACCTATACACATTCACATACACATACATTTACATATACATATACATATACATATACATATACATATGCATATACATATACATATACATATACATAAAAATATACATATACATGCACATACACATATACATATGCATATACATGTGCATATACATGTACATATACATGTACATTACATATACATATACATGTACAT